TTATTCTCTGCTATTGGTTTAGGTGATGATTTATTATATATTAGTTTAAATACTGGCTTATTTTATCCTAATGGTTTAACTACTGGTTTATTCTCTCCTATTAGATTAACTGCTGGTATATTCTCATATTGGCCTGCTTGGTGGTTTACTCCTTCCCGTTGGTTTAGGAAAAATTACAAACAACAGAGAATGAATTTAAAAGAGCGATAACCGAATATTTTCAATGACACAGGAAGGGAAATATTTCTTCCTTCATGTTCATATTTTTACATCAAGAGCAAAACATCAAATTCTGGATGGTGAACTGTTCATTCGAGGCTAAAACTGGTCTAAAGTAACACACTAACTAAACCAGACCTTAATTAATGTCCCCACAATACTGTCTACCTCACCACCTCGAATGTGAAGATCAAGAAGTGAATGAAGGTGATAAAAGAGTCTCAATGTAGGTGTCATTCAAGTTCACACGTGCAATAAAGTCTCAAAGAGTAAAATTAACCTATAGACACAGGGATTGTACGAGTTTCAATGTACAGGTAGGGAAGGGCTGTTTCTGATTCTTTTTTTCTTTTTTATACACACAGGCACGGGGGCTAGTTTATTGGGTACCCTCTCGCATCTCAAAGAACACGTGGAGCTCATATTTACCCTTCGAGATTTATATGATGAAAGGGGGAAAGTGCCGGAGGGGCCATTGGTTGTGTTAATATGTATTTTTGTTTTTTCATTTGTTTTATCATTTTCACCACTTATCAACTTACTAGCTGTTCGGGCGCTTGATCAGCACCGTGCAGTATCATCCTTCTGCCAGCCCCTAATATTAAGGACATGGGCAGCTCCTACTCTGACTCTTCATTCATGGACTCCTTGGAAGAATCGACTTATATACCTGTATTCATGATGTCCTTGAGGTACAGTCGGCCACAAGAATAAGTATACACCTACGGTTCGTGTTTGAGACAAAATATCTGGTAACACTGCCCTGAACAGAACAGACAAAATGACCTGTAATTTACGTTTTATTCCTACATATATGTTATAAATACATTTGTTGTGAATGTTTTACTAGTGTCTTGTGTTTATATTACAAGTAATATATTGTATCCAATGGTAGTAAACTTGTTGCCGAATGGGATTGCAGTTATTGTACAGCTTCCTCCTCCTCCCCCACTTTTTCTCTTACCCTACTTTTGTTTTACTAATGTTTGGATTAATAAAGGAAGGAAGAGGAGTAAATCGAAGACTATGGAAAGGGAAACAGAAAATAGTTGGAGATAGCAGGTGGGGGGAGCTGAGTTTCATCATGCGTCTGGATGCGCAGTTTCAACGTTACCAGACAATTTTTGGACCTTATAGCTACAGTGTGTATACTTATTCCAGTGGCCGACTGTACGTAGTCCTCCCACCACGCCGACCGTCAAGAACAACACCAGTCACCCTGTCTCTTTGTGCAACGAAAGGCTAAATATGTAATGTGCTGTGTCCGCATTGCCACTAACAGGCCATCTGGACTATGGGCCTCACAGCTGTCTGATCTTAGCAAGATAGAACCACAAATCGATATATAAATTGCCTAAATTTATGGCCCCGAAAATATTAATACAACACATTGAACATTCTTCTACCAGACACAACCTAGTTGCTGCTTATGTAAATTTATCATTGATTTTATCTTGTTCCATTGCGGATTTGCATCTTTTGCAGTGAAACAAATGTGTTAGCGAAAATCCCAAAGACTTTAAGAAACCCAAACATTATAAAACGTACAACCCTGACTAACATCTTTATCATAACGATAATAACAATAATGATTATAACAATAACAATACAGAGTGGAAGTTACTTTTGTGCAAACACAAAATTAACTTATATTCAACACTTCCTCAAACTTGTGTCAGAGAAGCACGCTTGAGGTTGACTTCTATGGCTACCTCCACGTAGCCGGCTGATAAGGTGAAGTCACATGAGATAATATTTATCTGGTCCCACCATCTGAGCCGAAGCCACGAGGTCACGTTTCGGTTAACCTCGTCTGCCATGACCCTAAGGCTGCCAAGGTCATCGAGGATAACATCCTCAGCCAGGGGAGTCAGCTGGCCGCTCAGGGTCCAAGGACGAGACGGCGGACCCTCACTCTCAAACACTCGAACCATGTATTCTTCCAGACCTGTTAGCGTCTGTGCATTTGCCCATCTGCCGCTCATATTTGGCCAAAAGATCGGGCTGCCATTTGCCTCTTGGTGATTATAAGTAACAATGAGACTGGAAGGTGACTGTAGCAGGTCACCAAGAGGAGTATCCCAGCCGTGGCTACTGGGAGCCATCAGGTCTCCCAACTCCCGTGTGATGAGGTCAATACATCCCTCATGCTCCTCACTTGTCTCGAAGAAGGTAAAACCCCCCACCTCCACCAGCACCACCTCCCCGGTGTCCTGTATAAAGTCTCTCAGTTGACGCAGGACATCGGTAAAGGGTCGCCACACCGTCAGGCCATGCACTACCCAGTACGGTTCCTCTGGGTCTCCTGTGAAGTAACCAACACGAAGGTCGATGTAACGCTGTCCGAAAACTAGTTGATTGTATATACTTTCGTCTTGAGTAATTGCGTATTTGAGCAACGAATTGTCGGACGACGAGGTGTAAGGTGTGTAAGTACCAGAGTCGTGCACGCCAGGAATCACGAGATCGCGCAGTGCTACTCCACTGAGCTGCTCCGAGAGAGAAGACATCCACCCAGGATGAATTTTGATACAGTCCGTAGCGATGAGGCGGTCATTACGCACGTAAGCTGCCCACCAGCCTAAACAAGATCCTTCTGTCATATTTGCGTGAATGGGTAGAAAGGGGAAGGTGTAGTTGGTGAGGTAGTGGCTGGTGGTAGCCTCCGGTACTGCTTGTTGTAGGGGTGTTAACCAGTCTTGTGTGGGCTCGTGGTCAAACAAGCCCACCCAGTCTCCTTCGTGTACTTCCGTCACCTCCCAATTGATCTCCATTTGTCGTTGTGTCGTTTGGCCATCAGAGGAGGCTGAGGCCAGCGCAGACACCCACAGCCACACGCGAGCTTCACCTGCCGACACCACTGTTATAGATCAATAAGTGGTAAGTAAAAGTATTGCTGCACATATACAAAATAACAACTAAACAATATTTGATGTATAAGGATATGTCAATGGTCATATAGTGTATATTAAACAAAGTGATTATGACGCTGTTAAAACACAGATAACCGTTGCTAAAGCGTTAAATCCCCTGCGTCCAGCTGCACATGCTAATTGTAGCATATTTACATTAGGTGTTAAAAGTTTGACTATTTACGAATTGTTAAGTTAGGTCCAAATTATTCAAATATCATGAGGCTGAAATTCACAATTTTATCAATGGTTACTTGTCCAGTGCTTTATAGAATCGAAACTTACTTGGGGCAACTAGTTCAGCTCCAGAGGAGGAACCAGAGCGTGAGATGCGAGTCGTCCGCCCACAAAACCCACCACGTAACTTGTTGGCTTCCACGGCAACAGAGACGACGTCTGAGGCAGGGATATAGTCCATGGCAACGATGTTGACTTGGTCCCACCAGTCCTGTCGGAACCAGCAGGTGACAGGAGTGTTGGTGATGGTTGCCGCGCCCCTCAGACCTCCCCAGTGGTTGAATGCCACATCAATCGCTGTTGGTGTGAACTCTGCCATGACCGACCACAAGGAGCCTCGGTCAGTCTGCTGGGGGATGCCCTTGTATAGGTAAGCCTCCAGGTCTCCCAGGGTGTTAACGTCCCCCCAAAGATGGTACACATTGTTCCATAAGTAAGGAGAAAGAGATCCTTCTGACGAGGGGTAGGTCACAATCAGGCGTGATCCGCTCTCCCACAATTCGCCCATCGTAGGATCTGGTCCCAAGTTCTTTGGTGCCATCCACTCCTGAAAGCTGAATTCGAGCAATGCAATCAATTCCTGGTGACGTTCAGGATACCCGTCGAAACCGTGTGGTAGTTTGTGGATATCGAATATGACGATTTCTTCCGTTTGAGTCATGAAGGCCACCACGTTGTCGATGTAAGGCTGTAGAGGAGCGATGCGAACCTGGTCGTGGTTAACGAAAAATTTTTCCACGGTATTAGGGTAGTAAGCGATCCTCATGTCCATGTAGCGAACCCCGAGCACCAGCTGCTGCCATAAGCTTTGGTCCTGCGTGAACGTCCACCGACCCACCAAGCTACCGATAATTGCCAAGCCAAAGTACCCTGAGGCGCCGGCGTCATGTGTACCCGGTATTGCAACTTTAGTCAGCCGCGTTGCTGATAAGTGTGGTCGTTGTGTTGACAGCCAGTGCGGTCTCAACATTAAGCACGCCGAGTGTAACAGGGCACCGTTACGCACGTAGCCAGCCCAGTACGGCAGACAGGAGTCTGTCGTGTTCTCCAGTGAGGAGGGAATAAGGCTGTCATCCCAGGTCTCGCTAGTCCTCAGCACACCATCAGCACCAGAGACTATTTCCTGAATCAGACTGTCATCCAAAGAGCCGGCGGGGTCGTGGTCCCAAAGACCCACCCAGTCCCCCTCTTGTGCATCGCTCACACCATACCAGTTGACTTCGACCCATCGCAGAGCTGTAGTGTCGTTATTGACGAATATAGCCTCGGCACTAATGGTCACGTAGACTCCAGCCTCCTGCAGCCTGCACTCTGTAACACGTGACACGCTCCTTTATGATTGGCTACACACCCTGTTAACAAATGTCTACTGTATTGGTTAAAGACCGATAGACCCTCTGCAGTTTCCTCTATTATTATGTTCCTATGGATGAGCTTGCGAATGAGATTGACGTACTTTGAGGTGGATATGAGGTAGCATGAATTAAAAAATAATTAGTTATACATATACCCCTGTATGTTCTGTGAGGTGGTGAGTTAATGTAGATGCAAGAGTGAGTGATACATGTCCGCCAGGTAATATAAGTAATAAAAGACGCAATCATGTGGGCGTGTGAAGGAGGAAGAACATACCTTTGAGTTGAGCAGCGTGTGTTAGAGTGAATGGTCCCGGCAGGAGACACACTATAACCACAACCACCGCTGTTGTTAGCCACCCCATCTGTCTGTGGTAGAGAGAAAACTGTGTTACTACCACCACACTATAATGCCAATGTTGGCAACATAGTTTGGGTTACAATTACCAACAGCTCTGATGATATCACGCCTCTCTCTGCATCGACCTCTACATCAGGGTATAGAGCGCCCAGTACGGTGTACAGTATGCTAGGAGGTACAGTCGGGGTCAAAAGTTCGCACCCGCCCAAAATAAAGCAGCGTCGACCCCAAATGAGATGGAACAGTCAGGGTAAGTCAGTTCGGAGACTCATTCCCGTGACTCAGTTTCACCACAGGGAGCGAACTTTTGTCCCCGACTGTACCTTCATTGTCAGTGCCTCTGCGTCTGGGATATCGTCTATTTTTTTTCAATTTGCTTTTCTTATCACAAATAATAAGACCAAGCTCAGTAAATATTCTGAGGACACGATTAGTAATGATTTTTTTTAAACCCTGCATTTGGATGAGGATGTCATCCACATAACTAATGGCTACATTGTTCGGTTCGTTTGGCACAACCTGCAGGCAGACAGTGGAAAACCCATTAACAAGGAGGGACTAAAAACTCCCCCTTATAATGTGCCAAGAACCATAACCCTTGCTGAAAATCTACTTTTAGAAACATCACCATCATCCATTTTAACCTCCTGTTGTCAAAGGCTGCTTTGGGGACAATGGATTTACTGTATTTGCTCTTAGAAAGGGCAGCTAAATCAGGGTCATACAAATATGGACACTTACTATATAGTGAAACCATGCAAGCTAGGGTACAGGTAGCTCTTGCTATTAAATAAAGACCAGGCAAATACAAGATACAGGTCTTATATCTTCAGCCCTCCTGTTAAGGAGGGTAGTGCTCATATTAAAATGCTCTGATTAAGTTATTCAAGAAAGAGACTGCCAGGGATATGTCATAAAGATATACCAGGAGCAGTGGACTTGCCTACCCTGAGGGCAGCATCATGTTCTTTAACAAGTATGATATTTATCACCTGGGCTCAATCAGTTGGAGATGTTACATGATACATTAAATCAAACATAATGGTCAGAGAGAGAGAGAGAGATCCGATCATAGATATGGAATGGGTCCGGTGGACTACTGTATGTGTTTGAGTAACCTTGAGGACTAGCGACACGAAACAATTTCACCTTACCAACCTGAATGAATTGAGTGAATAAGTGAGTGCACGATAGAATGAGTGTGTGAGTGAATGAGTGCGTAAGACATTGAGTGAGTGGGTGAGTGGAAGCATGAGTGGGTGAGAGGCTGCACATGTGAGGGGGCTCAGTCACACATACTCGTGAAGTTTCCACTAACTGCGGTTAATGTGAAGCAAATTATCCAGTTAAGGAGCAATGGTGCTAACGTTAACCACACGCCACGCTTATGGGCACACACACACACACACACACACACACACACACACACACACACACACACACCACCCCTATGTACCACATCCCTAGACCATTACGTAAGCCTTTATTGAGGTGATAACGTGTATATGGTCGCCTCTGCGTTCTTTTTATGACGATCCTAATAAGGTTAATGTTCCTCACGATCTTTCTGTCCTCGGTAAGTGAGGACCTGTTAACTGTATAGTGCATGCGGCCACAACACTTACAAGTTGCACGGCATCCTAGTTACACATGGCTATGGTGGTGTGGTTATGCTTGGTTGTGGTAGTGTGGTTATGTATGGTTTCGGTAGTGTGGTTATGCTTGGTTGTGGTAGTGTGGTTATGTATGGTTTTGGTAGTGTGGTTATGCATGGTTGTAGTAGTGTGACTACGCATGGTTGTGGTAGTGTGGTTACGCAGGGTTGTGGTAGTGTGGTTACGCATGGTTGTGTTAGTGTGGTTACGCAGGGTTGTGGTAGTGTGGTTACGCATGGTTTTGGGAGTGTGGTTACTCATGGTTGTGGCAGCGTAATTATATATGGTTTAGTCCTTTGCGTGTTGGAGCCCTTTAAGACAGGTATCTTCAGATCATATTAGAATTGTGTGTTGAAATTATATGTGGCGTACCTCACTACCCGTGACCCGCGCTGTTTACACTTATTGACAGCCAACCCTCGCCTGGCGTGAATTTCCTGTACTCCCGACTTTCGAAGGTGGAAATCAAGATCGTTTGAGAGAGAGAGAGAGAGAGAGAGAGAGAGAGAGAGAGAGATGGGGGTTATCTGAACCAACAACTTACCCGCCCTCCATCGGGAAGTGAATCGCTGCACGCAACAATTCACTCAGCGGACAGTCTCAGTTATATAAGATGATTGTTTAAGTAGATCCACTTACCGTCTGGCGGAAGCGTAAGACCCACGTGTTACACTCACAAAGACACATACATGCACGTGTCACATTCACAGACATGTGCACACACGTGTCACACTCACATATACTGTACATACTGTACACACTGCACATGGAAGACACGGTATTCTTCTCCGTAATTCCCAACGCCAAAAGTAACGCCCGTATTATTAAACAACATCTTCCCTTGAAGAGGGTCGTCGTGTTTCAACCCGACTTTTAAACTAAATGAGTCCTGAGGGACACCGCAGTACAGTACTTAACGGGGTGGTGTGGCGGTAAAATTAACTAATTCCAATATTATAAATTAATTTATAATATTGGAGAGTTTGAGGTGTTGTTTAATGGAGATAGACTAAAACACCTTCTCTTGTTACACACACACACACACACACACACACACACACACACACACACACACACACACACACACACACACACACACACACACACACACACACACACACACACACACACCGGTCAATTTGCAAACAAAGTAAAAACCCGACCATTTTACAAACATAAAAGAATATTGTCCGTTTTACAAAATGACTGGTAACCTTATGCTCGTGAAAAGACCAGACAATATTCAGGCAATATGTGCATATAGCTCCGGTGTTAAAAAAAAACAAATAAGAGGAATAAAGCCTTTTATTGAAGGATGAAGAGGATGGAAGGACTTTTTCAATACGTAAAACAATAAACAATTAACAGTTGTTATTACTCGGACTTGTTTGTGAAGCTGCTGCTGTTGTACAGGGTCTTATATTTGTAACGCTTACAACCCTTTTGACAAGATTTACATCAGAATAATGGGAGGGTAAGGGAGATTAAGGGGGGAAGGGTAAAGGAGGAAGGGTAAGGGAGATTAAGGGGGAAGGGTAAAGGAGGAAGGGTAAGGGAGATTAAGGGGGGAGGAAGATAAGGGAGATTAAGGGGGAAGGGTAAAGGAGGAAGGGTAAGGGAGATTAAGGGGGGAGGGTAAGGGAGGAAGGGTAAGGAGATTAAGGGGAAGGGTAAAGGAGGAAGGGTAAGGGAGATTATAAAGGGTAAGGAGAATAAGGTGAAGGGTAAAGGAGGAAGGTGGCGGGAGATTAAGGGGAAGGTAAGGAGATTAAGGGGGAAGGGGTAAAGGAGGAAGGGTAAGGGAGATTAAGGGGAAGGGTAAAGGAGGAAGGGTAAGGAGATTAAGGGGGAAGGGTAAAGGAGGAAGGGTAAGGGAGATTACAGAAGAGGGGGTAAGGGGGTAAGGGAGAGGTGGAGGGTATGGACAATAAGGAGGCGTGGGTAAGGGACAGTAAGAATGGAAAGCAAGGAGGAGGGTAATAGAGATTAAAGGGGAGAGGAGAGAGTAAGGATGGGGACATGAGGGTAAGGGAGAGTAAGAGGGTATGAGGAGGAGGAGGATAAGGGACAGTGGCGAGGAGGGTAAGTTTGGAGTAAGGAGTCAGGTAAGGGGAGTATGAGGAGGAAAAGGAGACTTGGTGAAAGGCAAGGAAGAGTAAAGAGGGATGGTAAGGGTGAGTAAGGAGGGAGGATAAGGGTAAGTAGCGATGGAGGGTAAGGGGAGAGTAAGGGGAGGTAAGGAGAGTAAGGGAGGGAGGTAAAGGAGAGTAAGGTGGTTAGGGTAAGGAGGATGGTAAGGAGAGTAAAGAGGGGAGGTGAAGAGAGTAAGGTGGGGATAGTGGGAGGAAGGATGGTAAGGGAGAGAGAAGAGGAGGTAAAGGAGAGTAAGGTGGGGATAGTAAGGAAGGAGGGTAAGTGGAGAGTAAAGAGGGAGGGTATGAGAGTAAGGGAGGATGGTAAGGGAGAGTAAGGATAGTAAAGAAGGAGGGTAAGAGAGCAGAGGGAGGGTAAGGAGAGTAGAGAGGGATGGTGGGCAGAGTAAGGGAGGAGGTGAGAGTAAGGAGGGACGGTAAGGGAGAGTAAAGATAGTAAAGAAGGAGGGTAAGGGAGAGTAGAGAGGGAGGGTAAGGGAGAGTAGAGAGGGATGGTAAGGGTGAGTAAGGAGGGATGGTAAGGGTGAGTAAGGAGGGATGGTAAGGGAGAGTAAGGGGGGAGGGTAAGGGAGAGAAAGGAGGGAGGTAAGGGAGGGTAAGGAGCAGATTAAGGGAGGGTAAGGCGCAGATTAAGGGAGAATAAGGAGGGGGGTGAGAGAAAGGGGTACGGGTGAGGGAGTAATGGCCGGATACAAACAATAAAGTTAATGTAGAGGGTGAGAGCTGAAGAATTCCCTCACTCACTCTTTCTCACTTACGACTTGACTCTCACTCTCTCCATCCGGACTTCACTCTCACTCTTGATCTCATCTCACTGTCAACTCTTAACCTCACTCTCAGTCCGTCAGTCACTCTCACTCTTCATACTCACTCTCTCCCTCATTTCCACATTCACTCTCTCAGTCTCGCCTTTATTTACTCTCACTTGTTTACCCACTCTCATTCCCTTATTCTCACTACCGTGCTCTCACTCTCTTACTCCCTCTCTCACTCTCACGTTCAGACACCTCTCATCCCTCTCTTTCTCACTTAATCTAACTCCCCTTTTCACCAAAACTATTAAAAATTGACTTAAATCTCATCCCAACTCTTCAAAATTTGCTTCAAACTCATCCCAAGGCCATGACGTGATTAAAGTGGGTTCTGGGGGCAACAACATCGTATACTGTAGGGAACGACCAGGTATCATCAGCTGGTACG